TCGAGCAGTGACTGGATTTCAAGGGAGTGATCTGCAGTTTCTAGTACCTAATTTCAACTTCTCTTCTTTAGCCATTCTTCCCATTTTTTTTTTTTTTTTTTACTTTTGAAATGTATATTATTCAAACAACTAATTTTGAGATGATTCCAATTTTCCCCTTATTTCAATAGTGAATTCTTCAATAAGATGTTTGGTAGCAATATGTTAGAAAGACTCCTCCCTTCTAGACAGCTAGGATATTGTTAGCTATAATAATTCAGACTTTGTGCTGGAATAATCAAGTTTAGATAAAAGTTATGGTTTAAATTTTGTATTATTTCAAAGAGAGTTTTTAAATGATAAATTCTGCTTCTCTCTAGAAATACACAAAGATAAGACTGAAAAGCAGGAGAAACCTGATAGGAAAACGCAAATCAAAGGTAAGTGTGTAATAGTGTGTTTTTTCTTCTTTTTACTCATGATAAATATTTTATATGGAAGCAAAATTTTTCTGGTGTTTAGTGTGCTTTTATTTCAAAATTTTGATAGTAAACTTCCTCAGTTAACTTCAGATGCAAATATATAAATAATATATAATATAGGAATCAAAGTAATTTCAAAGTATGTGCTAATCTTTGGATTATTGTACAATAGGCTTTTACTTACTAAAATGTCACTGCAAATATATATATATTTGTCTTAGTACTGAGAAAACATTTTAAATTATTTTTTAAAGAACTACTGTAATACATCAGAGTTCTTTTTTTTTTTTTTTTTAATTTCACTATAAATTTCTGACGGTGTAGTGTCTAAGGCATTTGACTGCTAACCAGAAGGTGGGCAGTTCAAACCCAGCAGCCACTCTCCAGAAGGAAGATCAGGCAATCTACTTCTGCAAAGATTTGCCACCTTGGAAACCTAGTGGGGGTTGCTATGAGTTGGAATCAACCCAGTGGCAGAGAGTTTGGTTTTTTTTTTTTTTTTTTTGGTTTTGGTATAAATTTTTTATGCCATGCAATACCTTCAAACATATTCTGACTAGAAATGCTGTCATTGCCTTACCCACTGCAGAATGCTGTGGCCCTGGAGTTCCCTTATACAGCCTCAAGGGGTAGATGAACAATGATAATATGAGGATTAATATCTTCTTCCCTGAACTGAACCAATAACTGCAATATGCTTTGTGTTAAAGTCATACAAATAATGGTCAGCATTGTCTTTTTCATTTTATAAGCATTCCTCTTCTGGGGGTGACCTGTTGTTGTTTATTGTTATGTGCTGTCAAGTCAGCCCTGACTCATAGCGACCCCTCCTTGGGTTTCCGAGGTAGCGTCACTACAGAAGTAGATTGCCCAACCTTCCTTCCGAGGAGTGGCTGGTGGGTTTGAACCGCAATCCTTCTGGTTAGCAGTCAAGTGCCTTAGGCACTGTGCCACCAGAACTCCGGATCATAATTTGTCAACCTGTGAAAGGTTAAAATTTCATGTTCATCCTATTTGACTGATGTCATGGTTGTTCTGCACCACTAAGTTGGTTTTGACTCATAGTTACCCTACTTGCACAGAACACACCACTGGCCAGTCCCGTGCCATACTCACCATTATTGCCATAGAGCCCATTGTTGCAGCCATTGTGCCAATGCTCTTGCTCAGGGTCTTCTCCTTTTCAGATGACCCTCTTCTTTACCAAGCATGATATCCTTCTCTAGGGACTGCTCCCTTCTGACAAAATGACCAGCAGTGATATATACAGAACATGAAAGAGTTTTCCAAGATTGAGAAGAGGAATGCTGTCTGATATTTATTATTATGTCAAAAATGGCTAGTGCAAATTTACCAGCAGTAAATATCAAAATGGTAGGTAGTAAACTTTCAAATTGTAAAAATTTTGGATTAACCTTACATTTCAACATATGAATCTATTTTACAATGCTGTGCTTTTTATATACTTCATCTACTTTTGGTGAACATCTCAAGTCACTCTGTTGATACGTCTTTAATCATAATGTTTATGTTTGTTTCAGAGAGGTCAGCCAATACAATCAGGGCATTGAAGTTTACTTAATTCAATACCTATTTATATTTGTACTTAGGAAGCTAATGTCTTCTTACTGTTCCCTTTCTTTTTGGTTGTTAATTCCTTTGATCAGAGATATTGGACAGCTTTGGGTATGGATTAATTAAGCTAACCATGACTGAACTAGCTCTGTGTTTCTATCAGGTAGAGATTAAGCAGACACATCTGGTTCCAAAAGATTGGGTCTTTGCCATATTCTTTCGCAGATTGAAGTATTCATTTAATAGCGGTACTGTTGGAGTGGATGTAGTGATGCAGATGGTACCATTTGCATTTTGGACCTGGCTGTATTACTATCCTGCTGTCAAAGGCTTTGAGCAGTGGGCTGTAGAGTGGGTTTATTAAACTAGTGAATCTTGCATAATTAAAACAGTTATTTGGCTGAAGTTTAAAATAAATTTCTCAAAGGCTGAGTTAGAGTTTGGAAGGTAGATATATTTTCTGAATATATGCGTTATATTTTGGGAAAGTGAATATGTTTCAAGAAATAGAAAATGGAATTTCAGCTTTTCAGTACTGACTGAATATCAGAGATAGGCCTCTTTCCCACAATTTCCCGATTTAAATATGAAGAAAAGATTTCATTTCATTGCTTATTTTCCCATCTGTAATTCAGATGGAATAACACCTGTTCTTTACCCACAAATAGTTCAGGGAAAATAAATGTAGTTTTATAAATGACATTTATATATATTTTCTGTGTGCCATATTCCATATCATTTGTAGCTATATACCATGGATAATTAGGAATTTGATAGTTAGTTATCAAATCATTATGAATTCATAAGAAAAGGCATAATATATTCAAAGAATTAGTAATCTGTGATGTTTATATACAAACTAGCAAATACCTGAGTCTCACTAAGTTATTATACTTAGGGAGTGGTATTTTGGGAGATGTAAGCAATTTTCATGATGATGGAAGCTAGATCACATCCTGTTGCCCCATTTTTTTCTTTTCCTTCAAATGGCTCATGGTATTCTTTTTTTCTTTCTTCATACAGTTAATCTATTTTAACACATACATTTCTTCCTTCTGTTTTCATTGTAATTTGGGTGATTTGGGTTAAACTTTACAGAATAAATTGGTTTTACGTTCAACAATTGGTGCACCTTTTGTTTTGGGCAACTCATTGCAATCTCCTCAGTATAACTGCTCTCTTCCCATTTCCTCCCTGTGTTTACATTTTCCTTTGTCCTCCTTCTCTCCTATTCCTTCTTGCCCTTTGAGCTTTTTTAAAAAAACAAAACAAAACACCACCATCAAGTCAATTCTGATTCATAGCAACTCTTTAGGATAGAAGTTAACTTCCCCATAGGGTTTACCAAGGCTGTAAATCTTTGCAAAAGCAGACTGTCTCATTTTTCTCCTGTGGAGCAACTGGTGAATTCAAACCACCAACCTTTCGGTTAACAGCCAAATGCTTTAACCTCTATGGCACCAGAACTATCCCCAAGCTTTATCCCTGCACAAGTGCTGCCCTTTTGATCTCCCTTTTGATCTTGTATGGTTGATTGTTCTAATGGTGCACACCTTCCTGAAATTACTGTTAATGTTATAAACCTGTTTATCATTTGGCCGAAAGTTGAATCACAGTGGTTGAGTTTAGTTCCCAGTTTGAAGTGTATCTAAAGGCCCTACTCATATGGTATTTTCAAAGGTCTTTATTTGAAGAGTTTGAAGTCATTGTGAAGCCTGGTATCTGCTTCTAGATGACTTCCTCAGCAACTTAAATACAAAAAGCCAGAAAATACAAACTCCCAGAAAACATACATTTCCCAAAATATACATGTCAATATGCTAATTCATTTACTTTTAAAGTTTCACAGAATTAATGTTTCCTTTCTGACTTTTTCATGGGGAATTTGAAACTATTTTATGATCAGCTACATTATTTAGATGATTTATAATTTATCAGTCCAAGGTGACATTTATTTCTGTTTTGTTCCTCTGTTTATTTTGTTCCATGACTTTCATTAGGGAAAAATACACCAGTTTCAAGGAGTAAGCCCTCTAATTCATAATCTAGCCATGAAAATTTTTTTGGTTTTAAGTATAAACTCTGACATGGTGATTAAGGTTCACCTTTTAACTAAATACCTCACTTACTTCCCACATAAATAAAATGAAAATTTATTTTATAAACAATCAGAAAAAATGTCTATATTTGCAACTGTTAAAAACATATAAATTTTGCAATATATACTGTATCATATTTTATTTCTTTTCCTTTCCTTTCTTTTTTTCCCTTTCTCTTCTTTAAGTCTGAATAGGTAACACAGTACTAAAATTCGTTCACAGCAGGAGGATCTGGATTTTATCTCTGAACCCCAACAGTTCTTTGCCACCTTCTTGATGGCCTCACTGATCTGTTTATACTTCCACAAATCTCAGTTTCTCGATACCCATTTCTCTTCTTTCCCAGCAACCTGTGCACAGTATAGCTGGCATTGGTTGGCCTAATTCTGATATTTCACTGCATAGTAGGTAACACAGACTTCATACATGGTGAGGTTCTCTAAGTCTCCTGTCTGCTATTTCTAAATTTAACAAAACTAAGATATTTGACATGACAATACTTATCCTTGGTAGAAATGCCAAAGAGCTTATCATGTGTAGCACAGTGTCCTAAATCAGTTGTAATAAACTGATTTTATTACAACTCTGGTAGCATAGTGGCTAAGGCACTTTACTGCTAACCAGAAGGCTGGTGGTTCAAACCCACCAGCCACTCCTCGGAAGGATGATGGGGCAATCTACTTCCGTAGTGATACTGCCTCGGAAACCCAAGGAGGGGTTGCTATAAGTTGGGTCCAACTCGACGGCACATAACAGCAACAACAATACATTACCACAAATCTGGTGGATTAACACAATGGAAAATTATTCTCACACATTTCTGGAGGTGAGAAGACTGAAATCAGTTTCACTGGGCTGAAATCAAGAAGTCAGCTGGGTTGCACTTTCTCCAAAGGCTCTAAGGGAGAATTTGTTTCTTCCCTCTGCTGGTGCCTGCTAATTCTTTGTTTTTTGGCCACATCACTCCAATCTCTACTTCCATGGTCACATTACCTTCTCCTCTTCTGTCTTCAAATCAACCCCTGTCTATAAATACACATGTGATTTCATTTAGGACCAAGCAGTAATCTAGGACAATGCCCTCATCTGAAAATCTTAACTTAATCACATCTGAAAAGTTATTTTTGCCATATATTGCATCATTCACAGATCCCAGGGATTAGGATTTGTATGTTACTTTAGGGACCATTATATAGTTTATCATACTTTCACCTCTGGTCCCCAAAGATTCATGTCAATCTCACTTATGAAATATATTCAACTTAACATGACATGCCCCAAACT